CCTCACACTAAGCATGCTTGTAGTGACAGTGGAGAGGAAAAACTCCCTTTTAACAGGAAGAAACCTCCAGCAGAACCAGGCTCAGTGTGAGCTGCCATCTGCTGAGGCCAACTGGGGTTCAAGGAGACAGAAGCAGAGATACAAAAAGCATCTGCAAAAGGTGGCCCCGTCCAGGAAACACACAGCCAGGCAGACGAGCTCCGAGCCAACTCCCATGTCAAAGGATGAAGAGAGCACATCCAGCACATCCAGCCAGTCACTGTCAGAGAAACATGACTACACTGGAAAACAGGCCGATCTCCAGCATCTATCAACAAGGGTGTAGATGGAAGCAGCACAGCTGATATTTCTCTTCAGGATGGTGTCACAGCCAAACAGGAACATATGAGGCAAAGCTACTCTGAGAAAAAGCAGAGAGGGCATAAGGTTAGAGTTTAAACTAACAGATTCTGCAGAGGAGGAGAATAGAGAGAGAATGAAGCAGAATGATGAAATGGGGGTCCCTATGTCCTCCAGAAGTCTAAACCTATAGCAGCATAACTATAGAGATAGCTCAGGATAACCTGAGCCATAAGCTTTATCAAAAAGGAAGGTTTTAAGCCTAGTCTTAAAAGCAGACAGGGTATCTGCCTCACAGACTAAAACTGGTAGTTGGTTCTACAGGAGAGGAGCCTGATAAATAAAAGATCTGCCTCCCATTCTATTTTTAAAAATTCTAGGAACCATTAGTAAACCTGCAGATTGAGAGCGAAGTGCTCTGTTAGGCACATAAGGAACAATCATATTTGTTGCTGAGAAATAGTCCATGTATGCTGTTCTGAGGTTAATGAGGTTACAATTCACACCCTTCAAGTTTTCAAGAATTATGCTATTTTGCATGATCTCATGTTCTCATATAGTTCCTCTGAGCTGTGCCTTAGCACAGACCCCTCTCAAAACCTGCTCTTGTTCCTCCTCTGCTCAGACTTACTGACCACAGGATTGCTTCATCCTCCTAATTTTAGAGATGAAAATAAGTAGCTGTTTTTGGAGCAGAAGTGGACATTTAGTTTTGCAGACTAAAAGACAATTAGATGTTTACATATATATCATCATTGTGTTAGACAATACAAAAGAAATACAAAATAATATATAAAAATGCATTCTAATTTAGGACATTTCTTTAGTCTTGTATCGTTTTTGTTGTTTTTTTAGCAATGCGCCAACCTGCTTCCATTTGCCGTTTATCTTTGTTACTGTCACGCCTGAATTACTCATTGTTAAGTCATAATGGACATTCACTTGATTTATATTTCAAAGTATATCCTCGTACCTGTTTCACATTCCAGCTTTTAAACATAGTTTATCCCAAATAAAAAATAGCAGTTAATTTCAGTTTTTCATGCTACTTCATTATTGGGGAGAAAAGTGATGGGTGTTTCTGATCTTCTATCTGAAACATTGAGTATCAGCTTACAGTAATCTTTTCACAGTTCATACTCATGCAACGCTGCTGTGGTGCAGTGTACTGACAGGAAGGAGAAGGGCATCTTTACTAAAGCCGAACCCAGCAAGTAAACAGGAAGTGAACCATAATCAGTCAGTTGAAAGGTTTTTGTTTGAGTGTGGACTAAACTGTGGTTAACATAACCTGTATATAAAACAGCAGATCATTTTAACTGGATTACAGCTTTATAATATGTAAATACAGTGTGCATGCATTAGACATTGGATAATAATAATAAAAAAATAAGTTTCTTCTAACAATAACTTTCCTCAAAGTGTCATTATTTTTAAAATGATAAGTTAAAAGATATAACAAAAATTTTTTTTACAACAACAGAATAGAGACTTAAAACATGAATGGAGACTACTCCCTTGGGCTGGCAGTAAAAGGAATGCTCATGCTATTTTTATTGTATCTTAGGTACATCTTAGAGTACATGAAGTACAATACTAATGGCATATTGTCTTTGCACTGTAGCTGGAAATTTAGCAAACAGGTGGAAATTAAACAAAAATACCCCTTTCTATAGTCTATAAATTCTATTTCCCACTGAAAATAACGTGTTAACGCTTGTTGGCATTAGCGCTAATAGTTGGGATTTGCCTCCCTAACCATTCGCAAAAAAAGCTGGGCAGGCACGCGCCATGTCCCCCCGCAGCTGAGCGTTTGGTGACACCATCTAACTTTGTTAGCGTTGATGATGTCACTAGTGTGAAACAAATCAGGAAAGTAAACAATGGAGAGCAACATGGAAGGAAGCGAGGACGTGGTAAGTGTGCTTTTATCCCAATCCCTCTTACCAGAGCTGCGCCATGTTTATTGAATGTAAGCAGAGTTGTTTTGGCTTGTTAGATCAGATGGGACTGGCACAGTGCGTTGATGTCCGTACCTTGCGTTCAATGGTCGATCCTTGGCTGATGTTCCCACTTTATGTCGATGGGAGCCGAGCCATTTGAAGGTGATTTTAATCTGGGTTGCATGATAAGTTGCTTGTCTCAGTTAGACTTGCTTCAGTGAACCATTACCATTTTTGCAAGGTTTAAACAGGATTTTTTTGGTCAGTGGGAAAGGGGTATATGTGTCCCTATAAACCAGAGGCAATCTCTTTTTTTCCCCAAGTGAGGTGATTTGCAAGAACTGTGAAAAAAAATTACTAATTCTGTAAAATCTGAAGAAATTCATATGTAGCTTTCAAGGTGGCAGCTAACGATTATTTTGAAAATCGATTAATTTGTTGATTATTTATTGATAAATGGATAGCCAAATTAAACCAGGTGAAAATAAAACTTTTCCACTTGAGAAGTTCTGAATAGAGCTTATTGGAGTTGATAGATGGAACATTTTCTATATTAGATGTAAAATATTTATATTTTTATACTTTTCCTATAATTACTGCTGTAATTGGGTTTCTCTGTCAGCTAAAGACATGTTTTAGAGTGTCTATACTCCAGTTAACAACTAATCGAATGCTTAGTTGACCATTATTTTAATAAACAATTAATCACTATTAATCCAATTACTTGTTTCAGCCCTGGTACCTTTTGAAAGCTTGAATAAATATTGCTGATGTAAAAGATTTCAGCAAAGTCTTACTCTTTAGAATCCATCTATCTGACTTAGAGGTAACAGGGATTAATATAATTTTGGCCCCAATCAAAAATTAGATCAAATCCAATTTGCTTCCATCTGACACTCTGAGTGACACATCACCTCATATCATATAAACTCATTCACATTGCACAAAAGAGCTGTTTAAATGCAGGATTTTCTGTGTCATCTATGTGCTCTAATAATTACTTTAAATGTGAACAAAGTCTTAGTATAAATTTTCTCTTTTATAAATCTTATGCTAACAAAAGCTGATTTGAAACAATTACAAATGTTATTGAAAACGTTAAAATTTAAAGTCACCTATATCATCTACTTCATCTCTTAGAGTAGAGTGACTGTCTTTAGACCTTTGCAGTGTAATATTTGTGGTTTTTGCAGCTGCAAAGCTGTAATGTTAGGGCAAGTGTGTGAAGCTACAATCAGTTCAGCTGATTATAAACAGTCTTAATTCACTGAGGATGCACAAAGTGCAGTCGGCTGCCATTGTGCGGCGCCCAGGCAGCAGTGTGGGGTTCAGGGCTTTGGTCAGGAACCCAGAGTGGAGGCTTTGGGGATCAAACCAGGTACTTACAACCTTCTTAGAGCACAAGCACACTGCTCTAACCGACTAGGCCAACACTCCCGATTAATTTAATTATTATTTTAAGAAAATATGCAGTTTTATGTGCATACCTTCTGAAGAAGAGAGTAAATATTTTTCTGGTTAACATCTACAGCTAATAATGTTCCATCACCTCTCACAGTTCTTGTTCATTTTAGTCTTAACTGAATTATCACTTCACTGTATCATTAGGACCCATTATCATGTTAGAAGCACTTGAGCTGATTACAAAGCTATATGTATAGCGAAATACCGGTAAGAGCCCAGTCTGTCATTAAATGAATAAAAGAAAAAAAAAAATCCAACTTGAAAATATTTCTGAATTCCAATTTACCAAGCTTCAGTGCTGCAGTATGCGCTAATCACAGTTCCATCCCTCTTGTAAGAGGCACATCCATGCTGATCCTGGTGGTTTGATCCCGCTCTGTGCTGTTTTAGTTTTTCTTTTTATCCTATGATGCAGCTGTGCTCCAATATGCACCAACGCCTGATCATCCCTCACAAACTGGAGGCCTTCATTGGATTTACATGACTTGGAAGTAGAGCTATTTGGTTTCAGCACCTGCTTGTCTTTTATTTAGCTTCCCAGTGAATTACTATAGTGAAACTAACCTCAGTCTTAAGAAACTCGTAGCCAGTTTACTTGTTAAGTCTGCTTAGATCCTCCTGAAACTACTCGTAGGTTCTGTCCTTGTTACTCCTTGCCTTTTTAACATTCTGCAAACCAGCAGAAACTAAAAAGCTGAAAATCCATATTGCCTCTAAATCCCACCTGAGATTCTAAACTCCCTCCTAATATTTCAGTGTTCTCCTGACACTCTCTGGGGACTCATTTCACTTCCTCTTCAGTTAATTAACATTTTAAACTTTGCTGTAATTTATTCTATTTACTGTAAGTCTCATTTTATCTCACATATGACATCATGATACTTGACAAAAACTTATTTAAATCCATATCTTTTGGACAAACCGATGGTTAAGCATAATCTTAGTACCTTCAGTACTTTCAATGGCCCTCAATACAAACCGTTTAGAAGCTAAAAATATTACCACACTTAAATAGATTATTTTAAAGACACTTTAGTTTGAAAAGCAACATATCTATTTGCTTTAGTTTCTGCTGGCATTGCATCAATTATCTTTTTTTTTCCGGAGCTTTTCAGTCGTGTCTTCTTATTTTGGGGTTTTTCATTTCCTCTTCACATGGTTGTTTGCAGCTTATTCACAGGAAGTAAAGGTCTGCCCTGCCCCTGCTGCTCATCTCTCAGTTTTGCTCTCCAGCGCATAGTGTCAGCAACACCTTACCCATTTCTGACAGAAAGCTCGTCTTCTTGTTTGACAAGAAGCTGCCTCTCAGCTTCTCCTCTGTTTTGCTGCGGCTGATCCATCAGTCACTCATTCACAGCTGGGCGCCACCATGAGCCTAAAGAAACTCAGTGAGTATAACTTGTGCTTGTGTGAACCTGTGGGCACCATTGTTAAGCTTTGTTGTTCTATTTACAGATGTTGCCACAGCATCCAGTTCTGCAATGTTTTAGCTGCAGAAGTAAAAAAAAATAATAATTTAAAAGAGCTGATCTTCTATGTGGAGGTTTATGTTCACGGTGGCACGGAAAGTGATGCATCAAGTTAAACTTGTGGTGACGAAAGGCTGACTGAAAAATTCCCTCAGTGAATCTGAGTATGACTCAGAGAGAATCAAGTACACAGAATAATTTGTAATTACTAGGGGTGTAAATCACACACATTTGGTGATTTGATTCAGTATTCCTGACCCAACTATTCCATTATTTTCGATACTCAGGAATACACCCCCCGAAATACTTCCACATAAATGACTTGAAACTACAAGGGGTGTGTAAGTTACCTTTTTCCTCCACCATGTCTGTCTTGCCTACTGTTTATGCAGGTGTGTGTGTGCAAGAAAGATTGTAGTGGTAGCGAGGTAGGACGGCAAAATAGGTTAGCGACACCGAAGCACAGGAGTCAGAAATTACGTAAGAGCAAATGGATTAAAATAGACCTCAGGAAAAAAAAAAGAATCGATACTCTTGCGGACATGTCGATGCATCGGATCGTCAGCTGTTGGATTGACGCATCGATACAAAACAATTATTATTTACACGCTAGTAATTACTCATTCTGCTTTTCATGACATTAACTTTTAATAGAACATCTTGGCTAAACAGGCAGAAAGAAAGAGTCAAATTTATTTTAGTTTCATTTATATTACTTTCCCAACATTAGAGAAGCAAAAAAAAAAAGGAGAGTTTATAAATACATCTAAAACTTTTGGGTTTTTAAATTATGTTTTAAATTTGATTATTGGAATAGTTATGGAACTTTAATGAGTAAAAAAAGAGAAAAGAAATATAAAACAAACAGGAAATATAATGTACACATCTAAATTTAAAATCTGTTTTTTTTTTCACGTGTTACTGTAAATGATTTTAAGTTACTAAATTATGCATACAGCCTCAAGAATTGAAAGAAACCCAGAATAAACTAGGTTGATTCCAGCAAAATGGGCCTTAAATATGTTATTTAATGTAGCCATTAACCATCTTCTGAGAATATATTGAAAGGATTATCAACATTCTTTTGCAGAGTGGTTAGTTTAAAGTAAGATTAGTTTACAGAAAGATTGCCGGCTTATGGCTATAGTCCATAAACAACTGCTAAATTTAGTTTGTATGTTGATTTAAATTAAAAGTGATAATAAAGCAGAGAAAACCCAACATTTTTATGGTAGAATTAGGATTTCATATAATGGACTCTGTCTTTCAAAGCATCTCTTTTCAGGACAATAATCCAGCTCAAGCTTGAATCTCTTGTTTATATCATATTTTGGATTAAAATTTACCAAAAGTAGCCCAACATTTCAGATAAAAAAAAAAAAAAATTTGTTTGATTAAAACTAAGAATCTACCAGCAAGATTAAAAGTGTAGCATGTTTAGCTTCAGTGTAAGGCCAGCGTTTGGTATTCCTCAAACTGCAACAAAAGTGAGGACACCCAATGTCTGTGGATTTTACATGCCAGAAAAAAACAAAATATTTTTTTCTCTTTATTGTTTTCTCGCCGACTGTCCATAAATCTTCAGAGTCAAAGCTTTATAAACTGCCTAAGCTTAATTTAATCTAATTTAGCCTTTGTGTCTAATTTAAGACTCTCTTTGTGTTAAAAGAAATCCACAATAAGTTCAGGCTTACATGTCTAAGTCTTGTTTAACAAGACATTAAAATGATTTGTTGTATCAGGACTGCATACATACATGTAGTCTGCCCTGTCGACTGACTGTTCCGAGTGCATGGGATTAATAATAGAGGTATGCATCATCAACGGAAACACTGGGGTTAAATGAAGATTTATATTTACTGTAGCTGCGTTGAATACATTTTTAAAAGTAGATTAAATGCCCAAGAAAAGCTAAATATTTTAGCACTTAATATTATCCTTTTAAAGGAGCAGTTAGAAGTTACAGCAGATGAAGCAGGTAAACTGCTGTGTAATTTGCACCATCGTTGATGATGCACGTTGAGATGCAAAGTATGATGTCCACATTGTGGTTAACCTTGAGTGGGTCTGTTACCCTTCCCTTTTAGCTCTGTTTCTGCTTTTCAGTTGGTTGAGAACATGTGCCATATTAGATCTGCTATCTTTTTTTTTAGGGGTTTCTTAAAACTTCAAAAAAAGAAACATTTAAATGTACATTTTTAAAGAGAAAAAAGAATCTCTACAGTATGAGTATGAAGTTATGTTTATAATATCCCTGGTGGTGCTATATGTTTGTTTGGACATACTCAAGGTTAACTCCTTTCCAACTGTTCCCTTTAAGGTTTCAAATGGTTCGGCAGCCTAACCAACATCTCTTTTCGCCGCTCCACGGAGAAATCAGACTCAAAGGCCTCCAAGTCCAAGTCTGGACAAGAGGGTGAATGTTCTGCCTCAGGACAGTTAGGTCCTATTGTTGAGACAACACTGGATGATATGGGGGCAATGAGACCTCGCACTGCCAGCTATGTGCGCTCCAGTCAGGATTACACACACGTGGGCACGCTGCCTCGACTGCTGTCGAGAAAGAAGGACAAACAGTGCAAAGGTGAATAAAAGCAGGATTGGTAATTAACACATTATTGCAAGTGTTTTTATTGTCCTTTTCTGGAAATGTTAAGGTCTGTAATTTTACCCTACGATTGCAGGAACTCTCAGCAGTAGCAAGAAGACTAAAGACAAGAGCAGCATCACCAGAAGTCAGAGTCAGAGACCTGCAGGAGAAAAGAGAGAGGTTTTAGTGACACTCTCAGATTGCTCTTCCAGTACGTCTAAGTGTAAAGAAAAAGATACAGCTGACGCTCTGATGGAAGGAGTCCACTCAGCTGAGGGGGAAGACAAGATCCCAGATGTTTCTTCTGCTGATTCCAAAACACAGTCTGAACATGGAGAAGATGCAGCAGTCATCCAAAACAGCCCTGCTGGACCCACTGTTCCTAGTGAAGAAGTGCTGCCATCTGGTGGCCCAGGTGCAGCACTTCAATCCACAGATAGAAATGTATTAAATGCAGAGGAGACTGCGGTTAGCCAGGAAGTCGAAGAAGCTATTGAAAGTGATGGATTGGAGTTAAATGAGAAGGAAAGGAACTCGGAGAAGAGAAAAGGCTTTGACATTTACTGGTGAGTTTCTGTTACTTTTTCATTTTGGGTTAATTCTGTTATTGTGATGACCAACGAAAGAATGCTTATTTTTTTATACTTGTTTTTTTGTTTTCTAATAATAATGGTTTTAATTAAAACTTAAGCATTTTTCCTTTATCGTATTTCCAAGTAGCTTGATCAGAGTAGTGAACGTTGTTCACAAGAATTGCACGAATCAGACCACAAACTAGGAACTTACTGTCCAGGGGCGGAGCTAGATGGGGGGGCAGGGGTGTCCATGCCCACGCTTAGCCAATAATTGGCCACCCCTACCATTTGTCCCCCCTTTAATACAGATGGTGGCAGCAGTAATAATTTCAAGTGGAATATTTAAAACATTTAATTTTTTCATATATTAACAATTACTTGACAACAAAAACACTGAGGTTAATTATGTACATCAATATACTAACATTAAAGATGATAAGCACAAAATTCATGCTTTTTTCAGAACTAGATTTTGTGTGTTATGAGGTGAAGAAAAAATTATGCGTTGCTGCAAATCATCTTAGAGTCTTCATTAAAATTATTGATAAATAGCTATTTTAATAAAATGTATTGAATAATCAATTTATGTAGATATTAGTACTTGTAAATATCAATTTTATGCTGAATGATTGTTGATAAAAGTAGATAAGTAATGACAATGGAAAAGATGTTCGCCCAAAACTCAAACCTCAAAGAATTGTATCCACTATATCTTTTATCTAGAAAGCACACTTGTTTAAATATTTATGTGTCTATTTGTCAACAAAGGTTGTAGAAAATCATAATTAGTCTTTATTTAGAAAATATGGATGTTGTGCCCATTAATTTTCCGGTTGTAGATTGACCCTGAGGTTCTGGTGCCTATCAACTTTCAGACACCCCTCAGTTTACATTGGTTATTGCCTGGCCACCCTTCTAAAAGATTTCTGGCTACGCCTCTGTTACTGCCCTTTTTTTTTATTTTATTTTTTTTATTTTTTATTCCTTTATGCCTTTGCTTATCAAGTTTAGCTGTTAGCTGCTGTGTAGAATAAAATTTGAAATGCTCAAGTTATGAATAGTTTAAAATATATTGCACTTTTGAATTTAAAAATGAATCTTAGACTTAAAACTGAAATACTTCTTTATTTATCAATCTTTCTCCCCCTGTCCTTTTTAGAGTTTTATTTATACAGACATTTTATAAAACAAAAAACTATAATCGTGTTGCTTAAGGTATTTTTTCACAAGTAATTAAACAGTTTTTTTTCCCTTGAATTAAAAAGCTTTACTAATTTTATGGTGAAATCATGAAATTATACAAAATTAAAACAAACAGACCTTTGCTTTGATAATGTTTTACAAACAGTTGCCTAGCAGTGAAAAGCTGGATGTCATATCAATTTGGATGAAAAGATCCCACAATAATCAGCATCAGTGAATTTCTTAAACAAAAAGCAAGGACACAAGTTTCCTTTTATTACATATTTCCACCAATCCACACAGACACACACCCTTTAAAGGTATAGCGAAGGATTTTCTTTTTCCAGGTGGATCATCAAAATAAGAGGTCTTCCTAATTGTCAATCATTCTGGTGATATGTTTACATAAGGCCGTCCTACGTGCTCGTCCCCAGTTTGACTTACTGGTGATGAGTCTGTTGAAAAATGGCATGTGCATTTTTTTTTTTTTAAGTGGAGAGGGTGGGTCTTTTTTGCGAAAATCCTCCATTATACCTTTAATATTTGGTTAAATGTCTCTTAACTAGTTCAACCACAAATGTATTATAACCACCAAAATGTTAGGTTCATGTTTAACTTTTTTAAAAGATAGTTAAATAACTATTTCTGTCTATTTCAGCCACATTCTATCCTCTATGTGTATGAAGTACTCTCCTTGCTGATCAAACAAGTCCACAACATGATGCCTCCATCACCATGCCTGACAGTTTAATGATCTCCTCTGACTGTAGTTCTTTTCTACCGTATCCTACCAAATCCAATTAGCTTTTCCATTAGCTTGCATTAACTTCTCATTTAGCATCCTTTCCCTCCATGTTGATATAAAATTGTATCCCATATTAAAGTATTTTTCCATTCTTTGCGACTTGGTGGTTTCAGGGTTTTTCAACTCATCCTCATAATGTCATTTTATCTGAGATCTTGAGATCGACCACTTTTGGAAAACAAACAAAAAGAAGAACATCCATCTATCATGTCTGGAAAGGGCTCAGATATCCGGTCAGATATATAGCATGCTGAAATTATGCCGACTGCCACAAAAAGTATGTGGCAAAGCTGCAAAACTGTAGGAGACATGTAACCAATAGGTGTGGATGTATATATTTGAGCTTGTATCTTAATTTTTGACTATGTATGGTGTAGAGAAAATCTACAATAAATGTAAACTGATTTTGAAAACTCTAACAGATACTGTTTCCTTGATCCATCCCTTTTTTGAGATCTACTGAAAAGGATCCTGAAAAGCCCAAAACTCTGACATTCATACACACTTCTTACTAACCCTAGTAAAAAAAAGGTAGAGCTCTTCTGCTTTGTGGTAGACAGGGGTCATCATAATAGTGGCTGTTCAGCACATAGACAGAGAAGTACCCATCTGCATGTTACACTGCAAAGAAAGTCTTTAATGATGGGTGTAAAGTGAGAAGATACTTGGATTCATTCCTCTGCTTTTTAAGGCAGCGACTAATATTGATTTCTACTATTGATCAAATGCGTCTGGAAAGCTACCGGCTCGCTGCTGGTTGGATGATTTCTCATTTAGCATTGATTTGCTCTAACAAAGAAAAGATCAAGGGAAATTAGAGTTCTTTGGACTTATGGTGCATATAAAGCTCTTTATATTAAGTTCTGTATGGTTCTATCTAACAGCTCTCTCTCCTACAGTATGTCAGCTCAATCATTGCTCTTTGTCCATCTCTAAGATTCCCCCTGCACCATGTAGCTCTTCACATATTTTCCATTTAATCACTTTTGGTTGTTATTTTGTAGCCTTAAAAATGACATAAAAACCCTTTCTTTATTTTCTTCACTAATTTAAATGTCTTTTTTTTTATTTTTATAAAGGCTGTATGATGTGGTTGAGCAGCAGTTCCAGCACATAGTTTCGAATTTTTCTGTATCAGACAGTTTTTAAACATGTTATCAAAATGTAATTGTTGATTGCACACAGTTATATTAATTAAGTTGTCTGCATATATGTACACTGAAAATACATTTTCAAATCTTTGTATATTATTGTCGATCATCTCCAACAAAATCGTTATTTTAGCACATTTTTAACAGAAAGATGCTGATGTTATCTGCAAAAAAGGAGAGAAGCAAATTTATAAAGATAAAAGAAGCAGCTTTGTAAGTCTGTGTGGAACCTATTTCCATCCACTCACCCACTACTATAAATGAACCTTTTGATCTGACCTCTCCCTCTGGCCGTGTGTAACACGGCTTAACTCCTAGTCTTCTGAGATACATCATCCTACTGGGACTTGCACCAATTGATCTTCAAACTTGCCTGAGAGTATAATTGCCCTCTGTGCACGCTCTGGCTCCGTATTGTAAAGTTGTGCAGCAGTAACCGCAGCATTACTTTCAAAGCTCTCTGACACATGACTGGGATCCATCACTAGCTCTTGTTATATGTTTGCTACCCGATTTGAGAGTCCACAATCAGCAACCCTTGAAGAGCAGCAGGGTTTATGTTTTTTCCATGAGCCTGAGCTGCATCCACATTTTGAGCACTTGAAAGCCTGCAGCAGCCATCCATGGGAGTACAGACTCCTTTAAAAAAAAAAAAAAAAAAAAAAAAAAGCATGAGTCTATGGTACCGTTCACCTGTTAGACAAGCAGATCAAACACAAAAGAAAAAGGGTGAGTATCAAAGCAGAGGTATACACTGTTTGGACAGCCTTTTTTCCTCTTGTTACATTGCCGAACATCTCCTTTCTTTCATCTCGCTTTTTCTTCTTTTTTCTTTAACATATTCACTTATTCTTGTTCTCCTTTTTTTTAGCCACATGAAGCCGACAGAAGCCCCTAAAGAACAACTTCAGGTCAGTCTTTACTTCTTCCCAGCTTTATTCCCCCTAGGTTAAACATGAATCAGGCTTCATCTTCTTTTATTTTCATTTGGTATTAGTATTTTGTGCCATTTGAAAATTAAATTGCTTCAATTATCTCCCCTGCCTAAGATTATTAAATCAAAATTTTAATGTGAGTGCTTAGTTGTTGGTATCGGCCTTCACTCCGTCATCTGTATTTCCTCATATCAGCACTTACTCTGTATTTAGCCTAATTCAACTTGCTATTTAGTTAATTGAATTCTTAGTGCCAGTGTCAGCACAGCACATCCAGAGGCACTAAATGTTTCCTCCAGCAGGTGGCGACATTACTCGAGCTGAGAACTCCTTATTTATGAGTCTGTTTTGTGACCTTGGAGTTTTTGTTATGCATCATAGATAAAAACAAACTTTTCAGGGAAAAAGATCAAAAGTGGGAAGTGGGAGATGGATGATGTGTTTAAAATAGAAAGGCACGGAGAATAAAGAGAGGAAGGGAAAGTGAATGCTTGAGGAGCTGTTTCTCTATTGATCATACGTCAGCGGTGAGGTGATAAAAGCCTTCTCCTGTGACCCTGACCTGTATCCCCCTTTATAAAACAAATGTGTCTGACTGCTCCTGTCCACAACAAATTGACTATAGATAAACACCACCTCCACTCCCCTCTTCTTAAGGGTATCTTTACATTTAAGGCAAACAGCATCTGATATTGTGTTTAAGGTCCAACATTGCAATAATCAGGCTGGCTTCACACATTTAAAATAAAGGTTCTTGTCACAAATTTGTCATACTATGCTGCACTACTTATTCTAAATATAACATATATAACATGCACTTTTTTACAAGAAACTTTCTAAATGTATTTACTGACTCCTCAATAAATAAAAGTAAATGTACTTTCAACTAGCATGTCAAACAAATGACTGCATGGCAACAGAAGCTTCTCCTGAGATGTTCAAGTAGGCAGATGGGGATCATTATTAATATTCAATGAAAAAAGTCAAAACAGAATCTCTGCAGTTGTATAATGTTGTCATCATATATAAGGGGACGGGGAGGCAGTTGTAGAATCAGTGATGTACTGTAAATTGGAAAGCTGTAAAAGAAGCTGAAGCATAAATAATTATATAAATAAATCACATTAAATATACTCTCTCTGTGTTGTAGCCTACAGGAATGCATGGCTATGGTTTTGTTACAATCATCTTAATTTTTGTAGCATTTCTGTTAGATTTTAAATATTCTTTTAAACCTGCACAAATCCAGAACACACTATTTCTGGTATCAATCAAAGTCCATTCAGCAAGCCAAACACATTATTGGCAGAGTTTGCAGCACTTGGAAAAAACTATCTTTCTAAATATTGCATCCTTACCAATTATTGTTTTTGAACACACTGACATTCTCTATCATTTTTTTCTTGCCTAATAGTGCCACAAATGCAATATATTTAAGTTGAAATATGGTGATTAAAAAAATTAATTATTAAAAAAACTAGAGCTGCATGCAAATAATGAAAATGTGATATCCTGAATAAATGAATAAATATTCAAAAAATATTTGTAATTCAAAATTTTACAAATGATTAAACACACAGAATAGGTCCTAACTGTATGTCTATATGCCAAATAAATAATTAATTTCTTTTATTTCACTATGTGAATATTCATATTATTCTTGTTACAAGAAAGTCAGATGTATTTGCATTTGTAAAGTTATCTGCTGCTGACTATCATCATGTTTTTCAACAAAGGTGTGCATTGATGACTGAAAGACATCTTCTGCCTCCATTTATCTGTTTACTACAGTGTGTTGAATTCATGTTAATGTGAATCTAAAGACATTATTTAAATTATAAAAAAAAAAAAAAGTCTAATCAACCAAAACGTTCGCGACCCCCATGCAGTACCTCCGCGGATCCCTTAGGGGTCACGGACCCCTGTTGAAGACTTCCCTCCTGCAATATGCTGTATGTTACTAAGTACATAAATCCTAATGAAGGAATGTCAATAGATGTAGAGGATGATATGTGGCACAAATATGTTCTAAGTTGTACAACACTACTTATTCTAAATATAAGATATGTAACATGTGCTTTTTTTGGTGAATTCTTTTTAAATTCACTTAAAGGAATAGTACACCCAAAACATGATTAGCCTTCATTTTCTACTCACCCCCATGCTGAACAACACTCTGGAGTACTTTTTTGATATCTCAAATGCATCTGGAGATCTGGGAGGCTTCTTGCTGTCTGCTGACATTCAAATAATGGAGGTCCATGGTGCCCGAGACAGAAAGGTCCATAAAAGTCCACAAAAAACGTTTCAATATTCCTCCATACTGCTCGTCCAATGTATTCCAAGTGTCCTGAGTGGGTAGCATCCAGAATTTACTCGAAACGAAGTCATTTAGAATGTTTTTAGAGCATAAACAGTATTGTATAGGATTTCCTGAAAGCGCGCACCTGCGTTTTCACGACGCTACGGAAGCCGGCAGACCAAACCAGATGAAAGTGCGCATTCAGCGTCTGCTCTGCCGATAATGCAAGCGTAGAAGAAGAAATGTGCTGTTTACCTGTGCAAAGAAAGAAAAAACGAAAGAAAAATGTCTGAGGACTTCAGTGTTGAGGAAGAGCATGAGTTCTTTGCCGAGCTGGGCACCATAGACCTCCATTATTTGAATGTCAGCAGACAGCAAGAAGCCTCCCAGATCTCCAGATGCATTTGAGATATCAAAAAAGTACTCCAGAGTGTTGTTCAGCATGGGGGTGAGTAGAAAATGAAGGCTAATCATGTTTTGGGTGTACTATTCCTTTAAGTTGTGATCATTAGAGTTTAGGGTTTTGGGTATCTCTTTTTTTGGATGTCTTCTTTTTATCATTGTCCTGTTTTTTATGTTCATTAATGTGTTGCCATATCAGTAAATTCCTTTATTATTAGTTTATAATGGTTTCTTGTGTCTTGTTCTCCGTACATTTGGCTTTACATCTGGTAGATTTTATCGCTTGGTTAAGTATTTTTTTGTTTCTGATCTACATTAAATGTTCATTAGTCTTCCTCCTCTCTACTTTTCTTCTGCCTTAGCAGTTCCACATTGTAATCAGTTCCACATTGTAACCTATTGGACCCACCTGCATTTGTTGTTATTTTCCAAACTTTCCTCTGTATTCAGCCCTCTGGTTGTCACTGTTGCTGGAATCTTTTGTGTACTGTAACCTCTGCTTCATTTTTTGTTTTCACTTTTTTCATTGTTTTTCTTGTCATTTAAGTTCTTCAGTTTCCAGATTATAGTCTCTGCATGGCCGTCCTTCGCAAACTGACAATCATGTGTTAAACAAAATATATCTTTATCTCTTTTTTTTTAACATTAGCAGATCTAATATCTCATGTTCAATATAAACACCAGTCCTACAGATTTTGTCACCCAGTTTGTCATCACAGCAGCCACTCCCACCTCCCTACCCATTCTAAAAGCTGCCAGCGATGTCCTCCTCTCCTTCCACCTCTCTGAAACATTTATGACAGCTGATGTTTAAATCAGGAGTTGGCCTCAACGCGCCCTGTTATAATGGGAGAGACCAGCCCAGCGGCTCAGTTTTCCACATGTGCTCAGTCACACACGTGTTCAGACACACAAACACAAATTATAAGCTCTTGATTTAAAATGAGTGAAGTCTGCAGTTTAATTTAAAAAAGCTTTAAAAACCAGGGTTTCAGTTTTATTATTTAACACTGTTGTTGAGTTTTTATAAGCTGTAGAAACTGGCACCACTGGTTGGTTTTGTGACTCATTTGAGCAAAATAAAAAGCATCTTTAAAAGGGTTTGTGGATAGTGAACACTCCTGTCACTGTGGTCCTAATTAACTCGGTCTCAGTGTTTTTTAATACTTTGTGATGTTCAAGGGAACTGTTTTACCATAGTGTGCATCTATTTTTGCCTGCGACCCAGCCTGGCTTTGTCTCCTGCTTTGTTCAGTGGTTTGGTTTAACAACAACGGGATAGGGCCAAAGGGTGGGGAGGTGGGACGGGTTTATATGAGGTTTATTTACATATGTCTGGGACTTTCACCGCTGCCTGGAATAAAATATTAGGTGTATTTTTGTGTGGGTGAGGGGGCTCAGTGTGTTACTGTTTGATTATGCGTATGGTTTAAATTTCTGTGTGCGTCTGAGAGGGGCTCAATTAAATCAAAGCAGCACCCTTTGGAGAGGGGATTGCACGCATATGTGTGTGCCGATTACAGTAGTCTGAATTAATGTGGTACCTCATCCCAAACAAATGAGTGAATTAACATTTTTAGAAAGAGCTTCATCTCTGGAAACAATGTGGTTATTTTGGTGGGCATCATTTGCTAGGATTATTTTTATTATTATTTATTTAAATTATATTAATGGGTGGCCTGTGTGTTGCAATATGATATGTGTCACGATACTTGGGTCACAATACGCAGTATCACTATATAGTGCGATATTTTATCCTGCTATCAAAATTCCATTCAATTTATTCAATTCAATTTATCTTTATTGTCATTGTCACAAGAAAAACGAAATTTGAAAGAGTGCCGTTGATCAGTGCATATGCTTAAAAACAAAAATCACTGTCCCACAATTTACACATAATATAAGAAATAAATAACAATAACTGATACAAAACAACTAATAAGAATAGTACGTTCTCAAACACATCTTCCATGATGATTAATGGTTATTTTTGGTTGTATTTATATTTGTTATTGCTGTCGGGTAAAAACTGTCTCTAAGACAGTTGGTTTTTTGTTCTAATTGCTCTGTATCGTCTGTCTGAAGGCAACAGTGTAAACAGAGAATGTCCGGGATGAGAAGTGTCCTTTGTGATGCGTTGTGCCTTTTTTAGACAGCGGTCGCTGTGCAAGTCCTCCAGTGAGGGGAGTGGAATGTAAAGATAAAAAAGCAAGTGCTGTATATGTTCATCTGAATCCATGTGTTTTGAGTTTGAGTCTGTCTTCTACTGTGA